GCATGAATGCACACACACAGGCTGCCTATTTAAACTAGAATCATACACTGGTCATGTGCGGTATGGTCTTCAGCTTTTCCCTTGTAATCCAGTGATCCTGTTACAGACCCGGCTCCTGCTCTGACCTTGCTCCCAGCCTGAACTTCTGACCACACTTGTTCCTTCTGTACCTTACTGTCCAATTGTTGCTGACCTCTGCCTGTTCATGACTCTGATTCTGTGTACATCTGGGTGTACGCCATCCACTGAAACTGGTGCTCGGCAGATACCCGCACTCTCAAGTTCTTGTTCACAATGGCTACACATTGGCTCTTTCGCCCCTGAAGTCTTTATCCCACTGTCCAGAGTTGCTTGGATGGGAATTGTGCAAGAGGCCACCCTCGTCATCACAGGCTCTGCATATAGGTACATGGCAGAAAAAGAATGTTAGAGAACAGTGTTCTAACAGTCCTATTATAAATCAATGCCCCCATTCCTATAGCTGTTGCACCTGCCCACACAGAGAGCTTGTCCAATGAAATACATTTCTTGTGAAAGAATAAGTGACTGTTTTCATAAAAAAAGTATTACAACTGCTAACATTACAACTATAATGAAAAATGGTGGCAAACTTTTTTTTGCTTTTTGAAAACATTTAGTGGATGTCTGTCTCAAGCAAAACAGCCTGATCAGATTTAAACATTAATCAGGTGAACTGATAACTACGGTCTACCCATAATGACCCTGTTCTCTTCTGAAGTGTTCTTAAAATTACAAAAGAAAATCTTTCAAAACTGAATACATATCTTATTATTTAAAAAAAAAACACTTTCCATTTTTCTATTTTCCATTTTAATTTGTTATAGCTCTTTATAAAATGCATCCTTTGAACTATTTGCTTTAACATTTTAAGAGCTCTCTTTCACATCACCCGTAACATCTTTTTATTCTTATAATTTTATATGCAGCCATTAAGTAAGTTTATTTTTCACTGGAGCCTATTAGTTCATTCATATATTCTGATTTCTTTAATTACATATTATGTTGGTGCTGTATTTAACATTCACATTTCTGGATTGTTATTTTTTATTATCACTGTAAAGTGGTGGATTTACTAAAGGAGTAGTGAATGTTCAACTAACTTTGTAAATAAGGCAAAGGTGTGTTCACTTCCATCATCCAACTATGTGCAAGGAAAACGTTAAATTCTCCTGCACTTTATTGGTTATTCAATGAATAAATAACCATTTTTATTAACTAGGGATGAGCCAAACTGACCTTGGTTTGCTTTGCGCAAAGAAAGAAGTTTGTATGCTGAACTTGAACCCTATTAAACTCAATGGGAAACAAATCAGTCAAATTAAAAATGTCCATTTTCTTGGCTAATAGGCAAGTGGGTGTTAAAATAATAGCATGGGGGGCAGGCACTGCAATGGGGAACATGTACCAATCCAAAAAACATTCCATTCAGCCAGAAGAAGTGATTTTTTAAAATGCTTAAAATAAAACATTACAAATGCCAAATTCCTCTATATAACATGCCTGGGGGTGCCCCAATTCTGCTTTTGAAGGGGCTCATCTCTGTGAACAGAAAGTGCTGCAGCAGCACTGACTCTTAAAGAAGTGTTTAAAATTATGGGTAAATGGCATTTCATCACCAGATTCTTTTTTTTTAAGACCCCTCTAAGCTGTCAATGAAATGTCATTTCTCAGCAATTTAAATTACAACTTTTTTTCTTGAAAATTTCCCCAAAAATACATACCAGACCCTTAGAGTGGGGATTTAATGGGGGTACCTCACACACAAAAAATGTGTGAGGTTCCCCTAAAAATCCATATCAGACCCTTAATCTAAGCATACAGCCTGCTTGGTAGGTGGATGACATTTCCTCCATGTTCCCCTTCTCATTGGGTGCCAAGTGTGGGTCACATGAGAGGCCTACCCCAGGGTGACTATGCTAGGCACCTGGAACAGGGTCACTACCTTGTACATGGAGTACCTTTGCTTGTGCCATTCTCATCATTGCCCCAGGACAAGGCAGGGGATACTTTTGGGGAAAACTCAACCTTAAGGCAGAACCCTGTGTACACTTGAACAATAAACTGGACTTCAGTTAACTCTTTCTGTCCTGTGTCAATGCACACCTTCATTGTAACTTGTTGCAATTAGAAGGGACACGCTGAGCTGATGCCCATTCCACTTGTCCAGCATATCTCCACAACCTCAGTAATGGAATGGAGCCCCACTGAACACCTCGCTGGACTCTATGCATGCTCTGTTAATTCTGTACCTAGTGCCCAGGCCGGTAACCTCTGAGAGCTGATCTGCTCCTGTTGTTATAAGAGACTGCCAGGGGAGATAATGTCGACAGCAACTCCCTCACTACAAGAGGATGTCCCACCTATCACAGGCGCATGCTTCAGGACAGGCTTTTTAGTAAACCTCTGTTATTTTTGGTAACCACTTGCTTGTACTCCGTGCTGTGTTAACTCTTATGGAGCTGTCTTTATACCCCAGTGTGCTTTAGCATCTTCACACCAGGCAAGGACTAAGTTTCAAAAGCTTTGCTAAAAAACTTGTTAATTTCAGACATCAACAGTAACAGCCTTTCCCTTATCTTCCATAATCCCTAACTCAGGCTTGTGGCTGCCACAGCATACCTGCATAGGTGAGAGTCTGCACTTGGGGATACTATGGTCAGGGCAGACAACGGATCTCAGCAGTCCCCCTACATTGGGTATGGTTCCTGAAGCCAGGGGATCATAAGCAGGAGATTAGATGCTGTGGCTTGTCTGCGTTCCTTCCTATGCAGCAGATTGTGTTTCTGGGAAGAGCCTTCCCCCCTTTTATTAACAGCACAGGTAGAGAGGCAAGTCCCAGCGGAAAGTGCAGGAAACAGGGTTAACTCCTCTCCTGGCTGGGGCAGCAGCTGTCTCACTAAGCAGCATTCCAACCTGCTTACAAGCCCTACAAAAAAAATAAACAATTCTAAGAAGAACCAAAGGATGAAAACCCCTGTGTACAACCTAACATCCCTTTACATGTGCCTGGGGTGGAACTTACTATGTGAGATCATCAAAAAGTAAAGGAGGTAAAGACAACTCATATTATGCAGCAGTTTTGTAAAGATAAAACATTTTTTTAAAAATTGTAAAAAAAAAGAATATGCCAATAAAGAAAATTAAATATTTCAATTTTTTTATATTTAATATTAACGTGTAGCTTAAATTATTGGATTAAAAATGTTAATAAATTTGTGTATTAACAGATGATTAAAACTGAAGCTAAAATAAACTTAACTATTGCAGCGCTGGAAGTTCAGAGGCAGGAAGAGGACAGGCATCTCTGCAGTGAAGATTTCACCTAACCAGCTGTCTGCACAAAGTGCGACTTCCTTCATAACAAGTAAGTGTTGTGACTAGAGCTGCAGGAATTGTTTTAGCTATAATTCAGCTTTAAACATGTAGTAATCCATAAAAAAAGATATTTATTTGATCTAAGTGATGCTACACACTCTACTGATCTCAGTGGTGTCAGAAATTTCAAACTGCTCATGCATTGCACACACATTCACATCACTGTGATGTCCTTGAAGCATATCAAGAGCAAAGCTTTCTGCTCATCAAAACAAAGCCCTGTATTGTTGACCAGTGAGCAAGTGTTGAGTTCTTGTGTATAATACATAGCAAAGCTGGGCGGGTGGATGGAAGCACATTGACTGTTAAGCAGGATTTACTAGTTACTTTATGTAAGCTACACTATGTATATTTTTATTCACATGCATACTGGCTGAATGTGGCATCTTAAAACTTAGGAGCTCCATTTTGGTACCTTTATTTAAAGGCCAGTCCTTAACATCTTGTATGTCCTAATTACTCCAACAACAAGATCTTAATGGAAAAACATATATGACTCTATGTTTTTACCTGGGAGCTTTGCGTGTCCCTGGCACTTTTCCACATTCTAGCTCCTCCAAATCCAACTAGAAAATGGAATTCCCTTATAATGACCACGGAAGGAGACCAGATGTAAAAAACCAAGAGAAGAAATCTAAACTATAGAATCCTATTTTTTTTAATGTATTATCTATGTATTATTATCTATATATTAAAACATATATTAAAATATATCAATTGTATTTCTATTTATAAAATATATACATTATACAATTATAAAACATAATTATAAAATATGTTACTCATTGAAGACACATTTATTTTTTATCACCTTCACATTGGTGCCTCCCGACCCTTTAAGGGGTTTCTGATGCTGGGAGGTGGGGCGGGGTTTTGGGTCATGTGACCGCTGTGATTGGCTGTCACGGCAATCACATGATCGGAAAGGAGATATCGGGACCTTTCCGTGGGACACCGACATATACGCGCATTCAGCACGTTTGTTTACAAATGGTACGCAAATATGCGGCCGCTCTGCATAAAGACCCAGCCGCCGAGATGCCGCATATTTGCATACCGTCGGCGTGAAGAGGTTAACCTCCCTAGCGGTCTGATTATGTCCATATTTCTGTGCTCAAAGCGGTAAATTTTTTTGCATGGAAATATGTATTTTTTTATTGTAGGCCTGTAATTTTTAGGAATAACTCACTGAAATCTGTCTGAACAAGAGTCTAGTAAACATCCCGGGTAGGATAAAATTTGAAACACGAAGTGATAACTTATAATTTAATAAATAATCATAAAAAATAATATAATAATAATACATTTAATTCAATAATATAATCAAACCAAAAACACTGAATTTTGAAATATAGCGCCAAGTTCGCACATCGCTGAGCAAAGTCGCAAAATCGTTTTCAGTGTTTGGTGAGGAACTTCCCCACAAATCATTATCACTCAATTCTGCAAGTGGTTCTAATTTACTATCACTGTTCTCTAGCTGGTCTAAAACCGCTTTTGACCTAAAGGGACGCTTTTTGGACGCCATGGATGTTTCTCAGTTTCCAGGCAGAAAGAAAAGTAAAAAATGCAGGCAGGGCACAGGACAAAGCACTCGGGACAAAATGTATGTGAAATGGTTTGATACAGTAATGTTTTACTATGTTATTTTAGTGAATTTAGTGAATGCTGCATTTTGCCATTTTTGAATTTTCCGCTGCTCCGTCCCCGTACGTCCTGACGTCGCAGGGGACGGAACCCAGCAGAGAGATGCCGGCATCTGCCGGAGGACATTGCCGGCGACACTGCAGGAGGGACACATCGCGGGAGCGCAGGACAAGGTAAGAGAAGAACAGATCCTGGAGCAGCGCCGCATGGTAAGTGTAGCTCGGGGTTACCGCTTGTGGTACTGAAACTTTACCCGCGAGCTACACTCGGGAATACCGCCAGGGAGGTTAAGTAGAATAAATGAAATTCCAGATTTCAGGTATAAAATAAAAATATAATTTGTAGTGCATGATAAATTACTGGAATATGTGTTATTAGAAATGTGAGAGAAAAATGGGAAGATGCTATGCAATAGAAAAAAATTGTCATCGGTGCCTTCATCGTTTCTACATTTCCTGTTCACCTTTTGAAGCAAATGCTTGGAAATCAGAGTTTTTTTTATAAGCATGAATTTAGTGAAGTTTGGTGTAAATGCACTGGAAATTGGTATACAAGTTTGGAGATGTACTAAATCTGGTGCACTCAGAATCTGGTTCAGCTGTACATGATAGCCATTCAGCTTCTAGCTTCAGCTTGTTCAAATGAGCTTTAGCAATAGGACCTGGAAGCCGACTGGTTTCTATTTTGAGTTGCACCCGATTTTGCACTCTTCAGCCTTAGTAAATACGGCTGGGTGGATGTAGATCTAAGAAAGCATCCCTACTTTACTTCCAGTGACCGATGGTCTGGCAAATGAATTTATGACCTTAGTAAATCATGCCTATAGCATTTAAAATGAGCTCTGTTAAATTACTAAGTACATATCATATTAGTGTATACTGAGAAAGTCAGTAGCTGTTCCAACAAATGAAATGTATGCATCTAGCGTTGAAAATATTGAGTTTGGAAGGCATTCTAATGGCTCATTACCTCCTCTGTATGAAATGTGACATTAGCACAATTCTTTATACACAGTCATCTCTCAGCAAGCACTAAATGAACCTTTGCTGGCTGTGCGTATCAGCACATTCCCTGCAGGGCTGGAGGGCTTTTCATGGGGAACAGGTATATTGGTTTCAAGGAAAACAAAACTTATGTACACTGACAAACTCTCAGAGGAGATGAATTACTTGGTGACAGACTTAAGGGGCTGTGTAACACTTCAGCAGCAACAACAACTAGAGATCACTAGTGCACAGTAACAAACTGCACAATGCTGCTCAGTGGAGGAGTAATGGCTTAATTAATGGTTGCTCAAGGATAGACAATCAGTAACCAATATTTATAAATATAAATCTAGATTCTATCATTTATTAAGCAAGTACTGTGTCTGAATATCATTGAATTTGTAAAAAAAAAAAAAAAAGACGGAAATAACTGAAAATGAAAAATTAGGCACTTACTGTCATAGCGATTTTTTTTTTGTTCCATACTTTTTATTAGGTTTTTCAAAGAACGTTATGCTTTCCACAAAAGAAAATACACACATACATAATAATATTCAACTGTAATACAAAGCACAATACATTTGTCTTATTCACAATGAGGTTGATTTACTAAAATTGGAGAGTGCAAAAGCTGGTGCAGCTGTGCATGATAGCCAATCAGCTTCAAACTTCAAGTTGTTCCATTAAGCTCTGACAGAAAAAACCTGGAAGCTGATTGGTTTCTATGTAGTGCTTCACCAGGTTTTGTACTCTCCAATTTCAGTAAATCAAACTTGTATGATGTAACCAGGGGTGGACTGACAACTCATGGGGCCCCCGGGCAATAGGGGATCATGGGGCCCCCCATTATGCATGGAAACTCAAAAAAGCCTATGAAAAAGGTACCAAGGGCATCTCATGGGGCCCGCTACTGACCATGGGCCCTCGGGCAGTGCCCGCGTTTCCAAATGGTCAGTCCGCCCTTGGATGTAACCATTAAAAAGATGAGGTGATGTAAAATTCTATTAATACTTGGTGATCCTGTCATGAAGGTTCTTGTTCAGGGAATTCTTGTTATAGGGTGGCAACAGTCTCCCAATTGTGCTTCTGCAATGCTATCCTACACTAGACATATGCTTTTTGTTTCATAACTAAACGATTTTCAGACGAAAACTTGATTTTCAGAGTTTCGGATGTATCCGAATTTCCGAATGGACATAGTAATGAATGTCAATGAATCAGAAAAACTGTATAGTGAAATTAACTAATGCATTTGTTTCATTTGGATGACATCACATGATGCAATAGTAGTTTTGGCCCATGAGGAAAATTAATTAAATTTTCAAATGCATTCGATAATTCAGATTCAAGTAAATTTGTGATTTAAAGTGAATATGTAATAGTCAGTCAGTTCAGTTCCACAGTCTAATGCAAGTCTTAGGCCACCAAATTTTGCACTAATTATTCCTTAACTTCAGAAAATATTGAATAGTTTTGATATATGAATAACAAATCCACCAGAAATTTTGAAACCAAAAACTATGATACAGCAATCTTTTGAAAAATTGCAATTTTTTTAATATACCTGGGCCAATACAAATACAAAAGTCACATAAAACAAAACAAATTCTGATAAAGAACCAGTTCAACATAACAAAATATGACAAAACAAAATTCTTCAATGAATGAATGTATCCAAAAAAAAGAAACAAAATGATCATTTCCAGCGTGAACATGCCTATCCTACACCTCCTTCCCTTGTCAGTTCAGACTACAAGCAGCCGCATGGTCCACCGCTGTCACCACATCATCAGAAAACAGCTCAGATCAATGACGTGCAGTAGATGTTATAGAAATTGAAGTGCAGACAGAAAGTAGCTGAAGAGGATGAAGATGCAAAAATGCAAAAAAGTTGAAAGCAGTATTTTATGAAAGGAATGGTAATTGTTTTAGATACACAATATTTAAAAAAAAAAACTATGGGGGAGATTTACTAAAACTGGAGCACTCAGAATCTGCTGCAGATGTGCATGGTAGCCAATCAGCTTCTAACTTCAGCTTGGTCAATTAAGCTTTGGAAGCTGGAAGCTGATTGGTTTTTATGCAGAGCTGCACCAGATTTTGCACTCTCAGTTTTCAGTAAATCTCCCCCAGTATGTCATCCATTCATGGCTTAAATCTGCTTAAAATGACAAATATCTCTGAATGTTATGAAATATGGAAACACTATCACTATGTATGCATGAATGTGTGATGCAGGGCTAGAGCCACCATAAGGCAGCCTAGGCACCTGCTTTAGGACGCTGAGATGGGGGAAAGTAAAATTTGAATCCCCAGCCATTTTCTAGGGATTTATAACTGCCCCCCCCACAGTTAAAGTTAAACTAAAGCCCAGTAGGAGGAAAGGGCACAGTGCAGAAGTTTTAGTTTGCCTGCTGATTAGTAGGCTGCTGGGAGAGTAGGAAATATGCACCTTGGCCTGTGTAGACAAAAACCCTGGTGGTGGTGGGTGGTTCAGGCTTGATTTGAAATAGTCTTCTCCACATTTACTTTATCTTTGGTCTGTCCCTGGATATTAGCTGATAGGAATAATCCCTGCACTTAGCCAAACAGATGATTCTGAAGGCACTCCATCCAGCTCCTTCTGCTCTGCTGATAGACATGTTCTATGGTTACCATGCATTTGGAAGCAGCAATGACTAGTAAGGGTAGTGAAGATGAGTCTGCAAAGCAGCATTTCTGATGGCCATGTGGCCAAGTCATTGATGTCACCAGGATCTTCAGCCCTTCGTTACATGTGACTGCAGGGTAGAGAATTCCATGGCCACAGCCAATTGGGCTGGCAGTCTGCTATCATTTAACATTTTCCCACATGTTCAGGTTGAAATCAGTTCACTCCGAACCTTACCTCATCCTTAATTTGTATAACTACTGGGTATACAGAACAATTTTGGTATATTTATATGTGTGATTTGAACAGCATTAGAGGTATAAAGCAATGAAGGTGACACTCACCATACATTAAATGCAAGTGAATCTTTCAGATGCATGCTTTTTTCATTGCAGAGAATGATTTACTACCTGTGAATATTTGATAAATGTTATTGAGATGTATTTACTAATGAAGCTGAGAATCTTCACCCTTAAAATTGTGTAAATATTCACTCAAAATATGTGAATAACCAATTCTTGTTTAATTTGAATAACCATTCCTGAGCAGACGATTGGATAACCGAAGTGAATATTCACACTATTTTTTGACAAAAGATTTTCAACTCCTTTAGCAATTCAGCCTGATTCACCGACTTATAAATATGCTCTTTATCCTTCATAATTTATAATAATCAGCTTTTTTATTACAGCTCCAATGTCCCAGAACAGGTACCACCGTGAATAGATTGATGACAGGTGACTCTAGTACACTGCACATGGCAGTCACTGCTCTGTTCTATTCACTTCTCTGTAAATTTTGCTTGAGCGATGGAACTCTGTAAGCAACAGGAATTTTACAGTGGGTGGTAAGGAGAATTGAAAAACATGTGAAAAGGAGACAAGAGCCCCACCTGCTGTCTGAATGTAAGAACACAGCATACTTTTATATTTATTTATATAACTATCTATCTATCTATCTATCTATCTATCTATCTATCTATCTATCCTATAATATCTATATAAAAAAATAGAAAATCAATATGCAATGAATAATATGTATAAAAAAAATCACACATTTTTGTTTTACTGCACCCCATTAATTTAATTTGGTTTGAATAATTTGGGTGTTTTATTTAAATAAATTATCAACACACACAATGTACCAAAATCAGACTGCTTTACTGGAAGTTGTGGTTTGCTGTAATGCAGGTTCATTTCTTTAGTGCATTGGAGTGAAATTAAAAATGAATAGCACTGTAACTAACATGTGCATGGTGCCTTGCTATGTATTCCTACCAAAGGCGGACTGACAACTCATGGGGCCCCCGGGCAATAGGGGATCATGGGGCCCCTGTGTCCTTGCCCAAACTCAAAAAAGCCTATGAAAAAGGTACCAGGGGCATCTCATGGGGCCCCCTACTGACCCCGGGCCCTCGGGCAGTGCCCGAGTTTCCAAATGGTCAGTCTGCCCCTGATTCCTACCACTGCTAAATGTGACAGTTCAGCTTAGAGCTGCTGGTTGTTATGGAGTTGGCACCCACCAGCATCCAAACAACCATGACTCATCTTTGCTTTCAGTGGGAATTCCCCACTGACAGCAGAATATTAACCAAAAAGCCAACAGCAAAAAACAACAACAACAAAAACGGCATGCAGCCTTCCCCCCCATTCCATA